AAAACTAAAGATCAGGTTGTTCAATGTAAAAATTATGGGATAAAAGGACATTCTAGTGAAAAATGTTATAAAATAATTGGTTATCCTAAAGATTTTAAACCAAGGAATGAAGTAGGTTAGAACAATTTAGGTAAAACCTTTAATGCTAATTCATCTGTTGTACCTTCTGGATCCTCTGGGTCTGGAGAGTCTGAGTTTCATCAACTCACTAAGGACCGGTATGTCAAATTTCTTAATCTGATTGGTGAAAAGCAGTGCAATGAGGAAGCATCTGTTAGTGCTAATATGGCAGGTACTTACTTATTCAATGCTTGCAGTTCCATTTTTAATTGTAACAAATGGGTTGTAGATTCAGGAGCTAATCAACATATGATAGCTTCTTAATCTATTTTGTATGATATTGTGGATGTATCTAAACTTAATATTCATGTTACTCATCCTAATGGAACCAGTGCTAAAATTGAGAAAATTGGAAATCTTAATGTTTCTAGTTCTTTAACTCTGTTTGATGTTTTTGTTGTTCCTGAGTTTAATGTTAATTTGTTACCAGTTCATAAAGTTTGTAAAGATAGTAAGTGTGAAGTTGTGTTTAATGAACATAGCTGTAAAATTCAGGATTTACAATCCAAGGAGATGGTGGGGAATGGTAGTGAGTCTGGAGGTCTCTATTATATAGATAGTGTACCTTCAGGTAATTCTTTTTGTGCTAATTCTGTTGTATTTTGTGTTTCTAAATTAACATGTCATTGTAGACTTGGTCATCCATGTGATCAAGCCTTAAATTCTTTAAAGTCCAAGCTTAACTTTGGTATTGAGTCCTTGCCACCTTGTGAAGTTTGCCATAAGGCTAAACAAACAAGGAATTCATTTCCTTCTAGTCTTCATAAGTCATCTAGCTTAGGTGAGCTGATTCACCTTGATGTGTGGGGTCCTTATAAAGTTATCACTTCAGAGGGATATAGGTTTTTTCTTACTATAGTGGATGATTTCACTAGGGCAACTTGGGTTTATTTCTTAGAAACTAAAAGTGAAGTCTTTGCTTGTGTTACTGCATTTTTAACATTTTGCACAATCAATTTGATGTTAAGATAAAAAAAGGTGAGGTCTAATAATGGCACTGAGTTTTTAAATCATAATTTGAAATATATTTTCTTTAACAAAGGTGTAATTCATCAGATCTCGTGTGTTTACACTCCCCAACAAAATGGGGTTGTTGAAAGGAAACATAAACACATTTTGAATGTTGCAAGGTCCTTGATGTTTCAGCCTGGGTTGTCTTTAAAATTTTGGGGTGATGATGTTTTAACCTCAGTGTTTTTAATTAATAGAACGCATAATTAAGTTTTGAATGGAGCATCTCCATATTAACTTGTGTATAAAACTATTCCTAATTTTGATAAGCTTCGAGTCTTTGGTTGTCTTTGTTTTGCAACAAAACTGAACAATTTAGATAAGTTTTCTGAACGTGCAAAAAATGTGTTTTACTTGGTTATTCATCTGAGCAAAAAGGGTACAAAGTTTTGAGTCTCGACACAAATCTTGTTTTTGTTTCCAGGGATGTGAAATATTATAAGTCAGTTTTTCCGTTCAAGCTTAAATCATCTTTTGAAGACAAATCTGATTTGTTTAATAACCCAAGTGACCCATTTTCCTATGATGAGCCATTAGAATCTAGTTTTCTACAAGAAAGTATTAATGTAGATGATTTAGGAATAACCCCACGATCTGATGGTGCTGGAGCAGTCCACAATCTGGTTAAGTCTTCGTCCAGTGAGTACAACAACCAGAGTGACGAGGCACATGTACCTCAGGTTGAGGTGGATGTTCCTATCTCATCTACTATGGCTAAGGATAGTAGTTTAGAACCTAATAATCCTTCTGATGATCATGTATTAGGAGTCACTCGTTCTGGTAGAAACGTGCGTTTGCCAGCTAGATTTAATGATTTTGTTGTAGAAAGTTCACATAAATATGGACTTGAAAAGTCTGTGAATTATTCTTGTCTAACTAATGAAAGTAGATGTTTTGTGTCTAATCTTAACAATTCCTTTGAACCTAAATCTTATTCTGAAGCTTCAACTGATCCTAATTGGATCAAAGCTATGAACGAAGAAATGGAAGCATTATATAGAAATCATTCTTAGTATATAGTTGATCTACCTCAAGGTAGAAAGCCTATTGGTTGTCATTGGATTTATAAGATTAAGTATAAATCAAATGGTGAGGTTGATAGATATAAGGCTAGACTTGTTGCTAAAGGGTATAATCAAAGGGAAGGCATTGATTATGAGGAGACTTTTTCTCCTGTCGCTAAAATTGTTACTATTAGAATTGTTATATTTGTTGCTATTAATAATTCTTGGCCCCTTTATCAACTTGATGTGCATAATGCCTTTTTGTATGGTGATTTAGTTGAGAGTGTGTATATGGTCTTACCTGAAGGTTATCATACTAAAAATGACAACATAGTATGTAAATTGGTAAAGTATTTATATGGTTTAAAAGAGGCCCCTCGTAAATGGAATGAAAAGTTATGCGTTTCTTTATCAAAAATTGGTTTTGTTCAAAGTATGAGTGATTATTCTTTGTTTGTAAGAAACAAAAATGACACTATTGTAGTTTTATTGGTATATGTAGATGATATTATCTTAACTGGAAATTGCAATATAGAAATTGAAAATGTTAAACTGTTTCTTAAGGCTCAATTTAAAATAAAAGATTTAGTGATGTTAAAATATTTTTTAGGAATTGAAGTGGTGCCTATTGGTGATGGTATGTGTTTAAATCAGAGGAAATATTGTTTAGAATTATTATATGAATTTGGAATGTTAGGGTGTAAACTAGTTAAAACTCCATTGGAGATTAATTTTGTTTTTAGTAGGGATAATGAGGATAATTCAGAATATGTGAATAATATAACAAAATTTCAAAAACTTATTGGTAAATTGATTTATCTTACTATAACTAGGCCTGACATAAGTTATGTAGTTCAGGTTTTAAGTCAGTTTATGCATAAACCTAAAAAATCTCATCTAAATGTTGCTTTTAGAGTATTAAAATATTTAAAAGATTGTCCTGGAAAAGGTATTGTTTTATCAAAAGCAAGTTCTTTTGATGTTACTGGTTATGTGGATGCTGATTAGGCTAAGTGTTTGTCTACAAGAAAGTCTGTTTCAGGTTATTTTGTGTATTTAGGTAATTCAATTGTGTCTTGGAAAAGTAAGAAACAAAGCATTGTATCCAGATCTTCAACTGAGTCTAAATATCGTGCTTTGGGTTCTGTTACATGTGAAGTTTTATGGATTTTAAAAATTATGAATAATCTTGGATATAAGAATCTTACTCCTGTAAAGTTGTTTTGTGATAATGAATCTGCTATAAAGTTGGCCTTAAATCCTGTTTTCCATGAACAAACAAAGCATTTTGAAATTAATGTTCATTTCATTACAAAAAAAATAGAAAATGGAATTTTGAAAATCGTTAAAATTGATTCTTCTAATCAAAATGCAAATATATTAACTAAGTCTTTAACTTTTTTTCAACATGATTTTTTGTCAAAAAGACTTGGTCTTAAAAATATGTTTGCATGTAAATAAAATAGTATTGTGTCAAATGATAAGTTTGAGAGGGGGTGTTGAAAGTATTATGTTAATTAGAAAACTTATCATTTGAATGTGCAGGGTATATAATGTTAATTTATAAGTAGTGTAGGGGATATTTCTGTATATTCTTCTATACATGTGTGAATGTACGCATGTTAAAGATTGAATCTGGGTCCATGGAGAGTCCATGGGTTAAAAGTTGCTCCGAGTTTTAAAGTGTTATCTGAGGTCATTTGTAGATTAACACTAGATATTTTCTATTAGATGCTCTCATCTTGTTCTCTTCTTCTCTGTGAAAAATGGTTTCAGTTCTAGGGTTTCTGTAACACACATTCATGATTATCTTGGTTCTTTGTTTACATCCGAGTGTTAGAGTGTGATTTTAGTGAGATTTATTTTGTATCTTGTATGATGAAAACCAATTGTTTCATAATAAATGAAATGTTGATGTTGGGAAGTTTTGTGTTCGTGTGATTGTTCTTTGAGTTTATAATTTGTGACACTATGTTTATATGGATTAGATTTTATATATTTCTTAGGATTTGTAGATGAAATTTAAGCTAAGGAAGTAAGATGGTAAGAGCTTCGATTAAGTTACTTGTAAGGTGAGTTCACTTTGCAAAAATAAAGTGTATTCAAACTTGAGTCCCTTCTCTTGTTATTTTAGTTTAGTTTTATGATATTCTTCATGTATTTGATGTAACACTAAAAAAACCCAAAAGAAAAGGCTTTTGCCCTAAAAATAATATCCAGTGTTTTGGATTTGAGCATATAAGCACATCCACATGTATTATTGGTCGTTTGGTTGTGCCATGGTCTTACACCTATTTGAGAAAAGTATCATTAAGGTTTTGCGTTATACAACTTCGCATACATGGAATTAAATGTGTTGAAATTCTTTTTAGTAAAACTATTCGTAACACTTTTGGATTGTGAATTGAAATCACAATGATTGAGATGTGCTTGTTATGAGACGATATTATGGGGTCAAATTGAGACATGATGATGGTTGATTATATAGTTTGGAACATGAAACGTTTTCTTAATTGAATAATTAGAAAAATAAACGTTTATTGGAATGAAACAATTTCTTGTTTAAATGATATGTAGAAAGTTCTACATTCAAAAAAGAATTGTAGTATCGTTTTCTTAATTGATGCTTTACAAAACATGGAGCATCTACCCTTTTATATTGTTTACTTTTAGATTATGAGCCCATGATATAGATATGGGACTTGTAGGTTTGACAGTCCTTGTTGTCAATTTCAGCTGGGCCCAAAATTGAAGATGCACCACTACTCCTTTAGTGTCTCTATAGATAAAATGTTACAAATTACGAATGACATATTCCAACTACAAATATCAATAATTTTGTTATAGAACCAATATAATTAGAATCTCGTTTTCATTTCAAAACGAACAAGTCATGGTGGAAATGTACAAGAGCACAAACACCTCATATGCAAAACATGAAATAAATCAAAATTGCAAAAAGGGTAAATCCCAAACTTGTTCATCACCATAGCCAACAAGTTTCTTTAAGCCTAATATAACTAGGAGATTGGGTCTTTCTTTATTCAAAACAAAAAACTAATTCAAAATTACATTACATTATTCCCACACACGTACATATTAATCTAATTGAATATAAACTTTCCAAAAAGAAATAAAAAAGCTTGAAAAAACATGGAATATATGGAGAAGAACCACCCCCTCCCCTCCCATCCCCATCCAATTTCAAGAACAGGGTGAGAGGCAAAACAAAAACCAGATGCAAATTCGTCGAGAAATTGCGATCGAGATTATCAAATCACACTTGTTCATCACCATAGCCAACAAGCTTCATCAGGAATGGGAATGGGGTCCAACAGAGTAAAAATGGCGGTCCTTTCTGCAAATCCTCTATCTTCAATCTATCCCCATTGTCGAGTTATCATCGCCTTCCTCCCAACAAGAATAAAAAATTAGGCTAAAACCCTAAAAATACTTCAGTCAATTGAAAGGGTAAAACCCCTAAATTCTACCAATTTTCCACCACACGAATTTCAGATAATGCAACATATATAGTTATATAGACGACGATTGCAGCAAGTACCAGATGATGATTTCAGCGAGTATCGTCTTCTCTACGGCCAGACGACGGCGGTGGTGGCCCGGAAAGGGACGCTAGCAAATTCAAATGCCCTTGATTCATCGGAAGGTAGTTTCCAACCCTAGCCGCGGATGCCTCTCCCATTGTTTGTTCCTGGTGAATGAACCTCCCTTGTTGCGAAGACATCGCTAGAGGTGACGGCACGACCATCTCCGGCGCTGCGAAGCTCCACACCTGACCGAAATCTGACCTGGCTGGAAGAGCCCAGAATCCTCCAGGGGTGGCGGTGGTGACTGTACCGGAAGACATATTATGATCTTCTTTGTGTCCGTCAAGACCATCTTCATTCGCCCGAAGTCGTTTTCCGAGTATAAATGGAGTCGGAGAGAACAGGTGTTGGGAAGGGGGCTTCTGATCCAGTGCGGCGGAGAGGGAGCAATTGGCATTGGAGTTACGCAGCGCAACTGAAACACTGGAGAAGCTAGCTGGATTTGTGCCGGTGCCGGTAGCAGCGATAATCGAGGGTTCCGCTTGCCGGAGCAACCATTCAATTGTCTGACCATCAGACTTGTGACCAAGCTCACGGGTGAGCTGGAAAACCCTAGCGGCGCAGATGATAGGCATACGGATACGGCGACCACGGCCATCAACCTTACTATGTCGGTCCTTCGCCGGTGGTTTCTTGACCACTAAAGCACCGTTACCGGACGGCAGCTTGGCGTCGGATGTTGACATAATACACACAGTGGTGAGTGTTAGTGTGTGTGTGTTTGTGTGTATGAGCTGGTGAGTGGCTCTGAATGTTAGGGAAGGGGGAAAATTAGGAGTAATGATTGAGAGAGAGGGAGGAGGTGTTGGAGACAGAGGAGGGGGCACATGGACGGTGGGACCTGCTGGCTTAAAATCCCAACCAGCTCACGCGCCGCTTAACGACTACAGTTTCCGTAGGTGGAATCAACGCGCTTTTCCAAATTAGGTCTAAATTAGGGGTAAACAACTATGGAAAGTTTTCATGCAAAAACTTTAGAGGAATTAGTTTGTAAAAGCTTTAAAAATAAAAAAAAAAATATAAAGAAAAAAACAAAGTCATAAAGAAAAGATGTAGAAAATATTATAAAAAGGAAAAAAAAAAGTAATAATATAAAAAAAAGTAATTAAAAAGGTTGGAAAAATATTTATAAACAGTATTTAGATGAATTTGTAAAAAAACATACTTGTTAAAAATGATGTAATTGAAGTTGTCAAAATAAATTTAAAAAAATTGTAAATTTTTTCCATAAAACTAGGCTTTAAAAAAAGTGGGTTGTAAAATGTTGGGGAGAGAGATTATAAAATGAATTTGTAACAAATTTATAAAATAATAATAATAATAATAATAAATATTGTTATCGTAGTCCAACAATGTTTAGTATATTGGTTTAAATGGTCACTCGTGATTTTTTTTCCTTTGATGGGTACAAACTAGTGTTTATAGGTTTTAAAAAGTCATTATAGAAAATTTGAAGGGGTCACACGGTGACCCTATCCTAATCATCAGTTTTCATATGTCACCTAGATGAAAGCTCATATATATATATATATATATATTTCTGTCTTGTCCTCATTTTACCATGTCTCATTTTTCTTTCTCTAAAATCCACCATCTTTCTCAAGATCCGACCTAGATACATCTCTCTCCTTTATCTATTAACTTCAATCATTTGTATGCGTCGATCTATTTCCCTTTCTCTTCCCCTATGTTTCTCTCATTTGATTTGCATGTGGGTAACATAAATTAGGTAACATATATCCTCTTTTTCTCTCGTTTGTTCATGAAGACTATGGAGCTCCTCTTTTTCTCTTGTTTTATTTGTAGGTATGTATCAAGGGAGATGATGGTGTTCTCCAGAAGGATGGATAGAGATGGAGGGTTTGGTTTCACGTTGGTGGTGACTAGGAACACAAATTTGAATACAACAATATAAGTAAAAACAAGAAGTCAAATTTGAAGTTTCAAGTTTCGGAGGTGTAGAGGTGGTTTTATGCAAGAGAGTTTAAGATTCGTTCATGTTCAGGTTGGTAAGTCCTTTTAGGGTTGGTATCAGTTTTCCTTGGGAAGGCTGTATTTATTCCGAAATGCGGAGGTATTGACCAGATTGTTTGAAGTGCTGGGAAGGTAAGGAAGGATTTCGAGGATAAAATCTAATTCAAGTGAGGGAGAGTTGTAACACTACAAATCTGGTAGTTACTTTTTATACCCTTGAAATGAAAATTATGGCATAATGGTCCCTTCGTACGTTGGGCGTACTCTTGAAGTACGCTTAGCATACTAAGGATGGATGATCGCGGAGGGTCAGCATATATGTTGGGCGTACCATCGGGTACGCGGGGCGTACGTGACGGATATACAAAACCCTAAAACTCGGACTTGACACCTATTTCAACATCCTTAATTCATTGAGGCTAAACCCTAGCAAGCCTCTACAGCCCCATTTCGTCCCTTAACCTTAGATTTCCTTGTGAGAGTGTTTCTTGAGCTTAGAAAGTGTATTAGTGGCCATTTTAGAGATTATCAAAGAAAGACTAGATAGTGAGCAAGCTTGGTGTGGCATTGAGCTTCAAGATCCTTCATCTAGATCATCTTGAGGAGCTCCTGTAGGTATAAAGCCTTAACCTTCTCATCTTATTCATTAGATTGAGTTAGGGTTTGCTATATTTTCCCCTTGTGTGTTCATGAATCATCTCTTGGGAGTTTGAGAACCTCCAGAGCTTAGGCAGAGTAGATATGAGGCCCCCTGGTGCATTAGTACCATAAAAATGTAGTATTGATGGGTGTTTTGACCTCATGTATGAGTTAAGACCCTTGGAAAGGTCTTAATGGGTTGTAAAGGATTATTGGGAGCATATGGAGCATGCAAAGGCATAAAGTTGGAAACTTTATGTCTTAGGGCTTCTTAATGGACTCAGATCTAATGTTAGACGTTGAAATCTCAAGTATTAAGCACTTAATGGTCAAACGTGCACATCCTGCTTGTACGTCATGTGTAAATTAGCCTACGCAGCGCGTACTGCTTAAAGGGATAGTACGTTGAGTGTACTGGAGGAGTACATCGGGCGTACGGACTCCAGTTGGGTTTTGGGCTTCGTCTGGGCTTGTAAGCCCTTTGGGCCTTATTCGGTTTTGGGTTTGGTCATATTTTAGGTTAGTGGTTCGATTTATATGCTTTGGGTCATGGTTGTTTTGGTTGGGCCTTATTAGGCCAAGTGGCCCATTAATAGATTTGGACATGGATTTCGGGCCCATTAGCAAAGTGAAGACTCTTGGGCCATTATGAACGGATTTGGGCTAAGAATGTGTTTGGGCTTAAAGGAAGTCCAGTTAAGGAGTTAGGCCCAATTTTCCAAATTTGGAATATTGGGCCATTAGTGGGCTTTTATGGATTTTACAGTTTTGGGCCTTGTCGGTTTTGGACTTGGGACTTAGTTATGAATCTTGTTGGGCCAGGGGTAAAATGGTCAATTTACCCCCAATTATGGATTATGGATCATGATTTGGGACCCAATTGCTAAGTGGGCGATATTTTGGTATTGACAACTCGAGGAGTTATAAGGGCGGCAACTAAGGATTTCTTGCATGGAGTTTCATCAGTACGAGGTGAGTCTCCTCACCATACCAATGGGTCGAAGGCACCAAGGCAGACCCATTTTCTGATATGTGGTACACTAGTTGATGTAGTGATATGTGGTATACTAGTTTGTTATATGTTATGTGGTATGCTAGTTGTTTATGTGATATTTGCATGAAAGAACATGGGGATCCCATGGAACTTGGATGTCAGACCATGTGGGGGAACCCATGCTTTCTAGGTAAAGACCATAGGGGAGCCCATCGAACTTGGATGTCAGACCATGCGGAGGAGCCTATGGCTTTCCAGGTAAAGACCATGGAGGAGCCCATGCCACTTCGATGTCAGACCATGTGGGGGAACCCATGGCTTTCTAGGTAAAGACCATGGGGGAGACTATGGCACATAGGTGTAAGACCTTGGGGGAGCCTACAACATCCTGAAGTAAGACCCTGTAAGGAGCCCACGACATCCTTATATGTTTATATGTATGGCTTATGTGATTGATATGGTTTATGTGATTATGTGGTTTACGTGGGGTATGCTCTGGGGAACTCACTAAGCTTCGTGCTTATAGTTTTGTTTATGGTTTCAGGTATCATCGATTTGGAAAGGAAGGCTCGGCTTAATCGTAGCACACACACCCGTGTTTTCTGCAATATGTGATTTTGGGATGAACTCTGATAAATGTTTTTAATTAGCAATGATTTGGAACGTTGAATTAAACGATATCTGTGTTTTGACTATAATAAAAATGTAATTTTTACCCTTAATTTTTGGTTCATTACAAGTTGGTATCAGAGCCTTGGTTTGAGGGATTCAGATTTAATTTTGGGTGTAGCTGAACTCAAACTGAGGACCTGTAAAGTTTTCAAAAGGAAAAATGTTTTCAAGGAAAAAGTTTTCTAAGACAAGAAAAGGTATGGTGCATTTAGTGAGGGTCTCGGGAAGAGACCCAAGATTTCTGAACAGGGTTGGAGAGGCCAGCAGGGTTGGGGTCGGTGCAGCGCGTGCAAGAAAGTCACCATGGATCTTGCCAATGCAGAAGTATGGGTTACTACGAGTGTAGCAGGTTGATCATGTCAGTAGAGATTATTCCCTAGGGAGGAAAGGGAAGCCAGAGCTCCAGTAGGTGGTTCGGAAGGTGTGTTATCGTTTATGAATCTTTCAGAGGCTATTGGTTTCTTGTTGTCTGGAATCTTATAGTATGTTGGTTTCGCGTTGTCTTTGGGTTGTGATTATGTCATCGTTGGACTGTATCTTCGGCGAGTATCTTATGTCTTTTGCATGCCATGAATCATTAATGGGTTATTGAAGGGTCATTTCTCGTATAGCGAGCTTTAAGTGTTTGGTTGCACGTTGGGTGGTTGTCAAGATCGATTCAGGGGAATTATGTGGCGGATTATGATCAGGATTCAGTGTGTTAACTCTTCCGTATCGTTAGGATTCAGTAGTCTTTCTAGACATGATGATTGGCGTTTAGGGGTGACTAGAGAGGTGGTCCATTGTTGATCTTTTAGTTTAGGCATCAACTTTGTTGGATTGCAGGTGTTGGGTGTAGTATCATCTAAAGTATTTGGGTTCAATAGAGTTGTTAGGCTTCAGGAAGTGTTTAGCAGACCATTATGGGGTAAAAAGGATTGGGAGTTTTGTAATGCCAGTATTCCAGGTAATTTCCATTTTAGCATTTTTTTCCTTAAAAACTTTGGAAAGTTGGTCCATATGTTGGGTGTACGAATCAGGTGTGATGGGCATAGGACTTTGCATGTGATTGTGGAATCTCTCACATACATTAGGTGTATGTGTGTGTACATTGGGCGTATGCAAGCAGTGGATAAACCCTAATATTTAGGGTTTGGACCCTATTTAAAGACCATTGTGGCCTTTAACCCTTCTTACCCCTCAACCACCATCTCTCTTAGCCTCCAATTCAAACCTTAATCCTTGTGTGTGAAGTTTTGAAGCTTTACAGTAACTTTTGGTGTTCTTGGTGGTGAAGGAAGACCGTAGGAGTTGTGTTATTTCTATTAAGCTTGTTGGATCCAGAATTGTAACATCCGGAATCCAGAAGGTCAAATTATGGAAATAAATTCCTTTTTTAGGGACCAAATCGTCGAGTTTATGGAATCA